AGAGAGAGAGAGAGAGAGAGAGAAGTCTGTCCAAAGACATACCTGCGGGATCGTTCATGTACGGCTGTTGGCTGTCTATGTCCGTATACGGGTGTTGGCTGTCTATATCCGTATACGGCTGTTTGCTGTCTATGTCCGTATACGGCTGTTGGCTGTCTATGTCTGTGTAGGGCTGTTGCCTGTCTACGTTCATATATACACCCATGACACTCGATCTGGGTGGAGACTCCTGCACAGTTAGAATTTTTAAAAAAACCATCACATGAAGGATAAGATAAAACGTAATATGATGTATAAGATAAAATATCATGTGATGAGCGAGATAAAACATCATATGATGGATAGGATAGAACAAGATAAAATATTAGAAAATAGAACAAGACGTGATGGTATAGAATAAGAAAAGAAAACATGATAAGATAGACCAAGATAAAACATGATAAATTAGAACGGGATAAAATATCACAACACAGAATGCGATAAAAAAAAAAAAAAATAGAACAAGATAAAACATGATAAAATAGACGACAATAAAACATGATAAGATTGAACAAGATGAGACCTCGTTAGGTAGAATGAGATAAAACAGGATAAGATGAAACAAGATAAAACATGATACGATAGAACAAGATAAAACATGATACTATAGAACAAGATAGAAGTATCGTGAAATAAAATGAGATAAGCCTAATAAGATAGAATTAAATACGATATCGTGAGATAGAACAAGGTAGCACATGATAAAGTGGAACAAGAGAAAACATGATCAGATTGAATAGATGGAACATGATTAAATAGAACAGATAAAACATGATAAGATAAAATACAGGGTGATCCCAAAAAAAACTTTACAACTTTTTTTCTAAATATCTCGCGCAAATGTTGTTCTAGGAAAATGAAATTTGGAACAGATAAACTTCATTCAAAAGGAATTTGTTTGACATAAAATTCATACAGAAGAAACGTATTTTCAGAAAGAAAAAAGCATAAAGAAAAAAACACCCATGAACGCAAAATGCGCCAATTTAAAAAAAGACACCCTCGCAAGGAAAATCATGATTTGATTTTTGTCTTCTTTTTATCGGTAACATTAAATTGTTCCAACCTTGTGACATTAAACAATATTTAGCTTCTCTTAGGGAGTTAAAGAACTACTATTTTTGTTCTGGAATTTCTAAAACAAATGCTCCACATGCCCTCCTTTGAAATCCAAACATCTTTTAACGCGTCGTTTGAAAT